CATTTGAATGATAAACTATCCGTCGGTAGCGTGCGAATTTCGGATTATTAACATTGTCGTAATAAAATTATTGATTTTGTATATAATTGAGTCATTCAGTTTGTAAAACCAAAAGTTGTTTTTGGATCTCAATATTGTTTATGTACTTTTGCCAAAATTTTATTTAGGGGGTGGGATCAAAGAGTAGTTTTGCCTCGTCTCGTAATAAATCACCAAGGCAACATAAAATTACTACGCGGACCCCTTTGGGCCACAAAAATTTTATGTGGGCGGTATAAAATTGGTATTGGAAATCCTCTGCCAAAATTTGTCCTCGGACAGTGATGATCCGGCCCGACCCCTTCATCCCAGCGGGCCAAATACGACACCTCCCCACCCCGCCGTGTCGACCCGTCGAGGATTCCTCCAAGCGTGGTTGACCCACCCTCCAGGTGTAGACTAAGAAGACACATAATAGCGACCAACTACTCTCACAGGACATCGATAAAGACTTTATACACGAGGTGTCATAAGATCTAATGTAGATAACTCGAACTTCAGTCGATGAATTAAGAGAATACAATCGAGACCTAATCGATGACAAATTGACAAATAGAATTTCAAACAAATCAATCATAGCACGAATCTAAATCATAGGGGATTGAGCAATCATTTACTTCATAATTATAATGAAAATGAGCAAATATGCCGAATAAGGAGTGCAGACCCATATGAGAACGAACATCACATTGAGCTGTCTGAGCAGCGATTTATATCAATTCCAAACACTGAGCGCGCAAGTACGGGTTGTTATGAGTGTGGCACAATCCGTAGAAGGAAACTCCTGGTGGGCATCTTCTTTGGGGTGCTAGGGATAGAGACCATGACTGGGAAAAGACCACACTCAGTCAGGTCACTGAAAACGTACCACTTCAGGGGGCCTTTCAGGAAAAGAAACTGTGAAAGAACTAAGAGATGGTGACAAAGAATCCCTACTGGGTTCCTTCCACCTAATAACCCAACACTACAAGAATTGCAGGAGCCAGATGGAGCCTGATCGGCTAGATAGCCGGACAGAGTGGGCGTCACAAGCAGTGCCCCGGATTATTTCACTGTAGGAATCAGAATGCACCACTCATAAGAACCGCTTGGTGCTCAGTGCAGAGGAATGGTTCAGAGAATAGTGTACAGGGGAATATGGGCATCTTTTTCGTAACGATAAGGATTGACGATTGCCGAAAAGTGCTGGAAGCTATGCGTGCACGTGCAGAACTAGTTGATTACTGATAAATCTTAGAGATTCTGTCAACCGGGCAGCAGCGCAAACTCGGTCCACTCTTCAGGCGTCAATGGTTTGTGTCTTCGGTAGGAAGTTTCCGTACGTTGTCTTGATGAGCAACTGAAATGAAAATTACAAGTGGAGACTCAAATATTCGGAAATTATGACATATCGTTCAACGCTCTTTTTGCTAATGTTGCTATTTTTCAGGCAGAAACTTGATTTATTATTGATTAAAACAAATTGAAGGAACTATGAGATCGGAAAAGGTAGTTTGTGAGAAAGGAACAAGTTGCACTCATTACCGCTTACTAAGGCTGAAGATCAAGGATACCCGATACGAGGTCCGTCGTACGGCTTGAAAGCAGGAGCGCAGGGGATAAAGTCAGCGGCACGAGTGTGCAGTTTGCGTGCATATGGGGAATGGCTGGAAATCTATATAGCACACGTTCTACTTGCATGACGCGAAGTCACTGCAAGTAGCGCTGCTACTACGTCCGCTAGCGTTGCTCTCTTGCTTCTCGCCGCCTGAGCGGGCTCTGTCCGTTACCGGGTCAACCGCTTGTTCGCGTTATTCAAATGAGGGGTAACATTTGTGATTTCGGGAAGGGAGGGGTTCGCATTAGGGGTTGCAAGGTGATCATAATGGGTACGGAGGTTGACGGAAGTCGCTAAAAGGGGGTTTGTTGAGATGGGATTTTTTTGAACGATTTGTCGGAAAATTTATACTCAGGAGTGAGAGTTGGCAAAATTGTGGATGTGCCGCTTCGACGATACACTTAGCACCCTCACTCTCGCGTCGACCGGTCGTTCTGAGAAGGGCAAAAACAGCGGCGGGAGTTTGGGACTGCGTCCGGTTCGCTGTCGAAAAAAGGCAGGGCGTATTGCGGGAGCTGTCCAAGCACATCATGGCTGGGGGAATGAGACCGAAGAATCCTAAAGGCGCATACGCCAAAACTTTTAAATCTTACGCGATTTGAGCGACCTTGAGGGGTCCGATGTCGAAAGTGCTGAGGGTTGTCCGACCGAGCGCCCTTTGCCGCTCGACAATCCCTATGGAAAACAGTTTGTTGCCACACGATCACCTTGAAGAGAGCATCAATGGGCTTCGCAAAGAGCTGTAAACACCGAATGTTTTGGACATCGGACAAAACAACGAATCCGCTTGAGGTTACTAGCGTAGCGGAGCGAACAACACAACAAACAACCCTTGCGCGAAACAATCGCGATGAACGCAGATCCTGGCACTTCGCCATCGCTAATGTAAGGACACTACAAGTTAATAATGAAAGGCTAGATCAAACTAACGTTTGTTGAAGAAGGGAATGGCGAGGAAGGCGAGAATATTGCCGGCGATGTAGACGTATAACAACAAGTCACCGACACGCAACACGCTACAGTAACAAAACTGATTGCCACATTTTGCCAACATCTCTGCAAAAAAATTGAAATAATCGGGTTAAAGTCTGCAACAATGATCGGGATTATTCATGCGAACCACCACAACAGCTTGTTTGGGAACCAATCAAGGTTCAGAAAGGCACGCTGACCACAGGCACAGTATTCACACGATTACTGCACTAACACATTCCGTCATGCATAGAAAATAAGGCAATAAAATGAACAGGTAACCTTGGCCCAGAAAATACTCTTCGCAAGGATTTGTGTGTTAGAAAAGGGGATTGATCGATTAGGGTAAATTAATGATGTTGTTGGATTGATCAGCTATTTCGAGCTGTTCTCCTCCATGAAATCAAAAGGTTTCTAATGTGGTTGACAGTTGTCCTATTAAAGCCCCTTTCCCGACTTGTTTGAAAAAAATGGTAACTTGTTACGGGAAGGACTTGAAAATGACGAGACTTTTGAATACCTCGAGCTATGCGTAGATGAATTGGTAATATTGCTTAGAGGAAGCATAGCTAGATAGAATACCCCTCAAAAGAGGTTTCCACTTTCTTCAGTCGTTAGTCCAATATAGAGCATTTTGTTAAAATAGTCGCTTGAAGCCAAAAATGGACTCAAGAATCTAATGAATACTTGATAGAGGAAAAGTACACTGGTGTGCAAACTTAGTGACAAAAATAAATTCCGCGTGACGTAAATTCGAGTGACATAGCACGGTTAAAGTTGGAACATATTAGGTCGGTCCATAATTTTTGAGAACCTTTGGTGTTTTTCGAATTACTTATCTTATTTCTCTGATGTATTTATTCAGCATAGTATACATCACCATTATTACCAACATATAACCAATGCGAGGGTGGGTATTCAGTGTCTCTCTTGTAGAATTTCATAGAGTTCTGATCGAAGAAATATTGGATGTCGATTTTGACTTTATGGTGATTCAAGTGAGATTTCTTCTCCAGAAGGTGATTGAGAGAGGAGAGCGGATAGTCGTTCGTTGACGCAGGATTAGTGCTACAAGGCGGAGCTAAAAGAACTGACCGCCCGAGAGTCTCCAATTTTTTAGGAATTTTCTTAGCAAGGCGGGCTCGAACGACCTCAGAAAAAATAGATTTTGTCTTCCTTTGCTTTCAAGTTGAAGGCGTTGCCATCAAGCTGTCAACGATTCTTCCCATCACTGACACTGAGATTAGAAAAATAGATTTTGTCTTCCTTTGCTTTCAAGTTGAAGGCGGTGCCATCAAGCTGTCAACGATTCTTCCCATCACTGACACTGGTATTAGAAA